TGAAGATCTCCAGAGAAGGAGACTCCACAGCCCCCCTGGGCAGCCTGGGCCAGGGCTCAGGCACCCTCAAAGTCAACAAGTTCTTCCTCCCGTTCAGCTGGAACCTCTTCTGCTTCAGGTTGTGCCCATGGCCCCTTGTCCTGGCGCTGGGCACCACTGGGAAGAGTCTGGCTCCGTCCTCGTGACCCCCACCCTTAAGATATTTGTACGTGGTGATGAGATCCCCTCTCAGCCTTCTCTTCTCCAGGCTGAACAAGCCCAGCTCCCTCAGCCTTTCCTCCTAGGGGAGATGCTCCAGTCCTCCCATCATCCTTGTTGCCCTCCCCTGGACTCTCTCCAGGAGTTCCTCATCTTTCTTGAACTGGGGAGCCCAGAACTGGACACAGAGCTCCAGGTGGGGTCTCCCCAGGGCAGAGCAGAGGGGAAGGAGAACCTCCCTCGCCCTGCTGGCCACGCTCCTCTTGATGCACCCCAGGGTGGCATTGGCCTTCTTGGCAACAAGGGCACCCTGCTGGCTCATGGCCACCTTGTCATCCCCCAGGACCTCCCAGGTCCCTCTCAGCAGAGCTGCTTTCCATATAAAACCCAAGGTGCTGGCAAAGGGATGCGTAGTTTTTCTAGGAGAGTTTTAGGGGTCCAGGCTCTTCCATGGCAGTGCTGCTGTATTTTAATGCAGAAAGCACTTATATACCGTGGCAGCAAGCAAGCGTTAATTAATTCAGATTGAAAATGGGACGTAAACAATCCCGGAACAGATCAAGACCTAGCGTGGGGAGAGCGTGTCTAGAAAGCAAGATCAATAAAAGTAGTAGGAGCCTTAAATTGGAAATAAAGGCTTTATATGGGGCATGAACGGCTAGCTGGAGATGAGCGCTTGTCACGTCGTTAAGACGTCCGTTCAGAAATACTGTCACAGTTGTATGTATTGCATGGTTACAACAGTGTGACAACAGAGATGGGGAGAACGCAGCAGCAAGGGCTCACAGCATCCGTGCAAGAGCCACATCGCATCCGGGAAGGGTTCGTCAAGCAGCACCAGCCATTTCAGAGGTCAAAAGCCAGAGCCTTGCCTCTGCGGCCACAGCGGGGACGGGGAAGGTCAGGGCCACCAGACCAGAGCTCGGAGGGGAGCACCTGAAGGAAAAGTTACTCATTTAGCAGCAGTAATTGAGGAAAATGTTGTCACTCAGGTCGGCCAGGCTTCGAAGTCGCCCCGTTGGAAAACAAGACTGCGGTATGTGAAAACCCCCATCTAGCCCTGAAATTCTTGCAAGAGGAGGAGCTCCGACTTCGCTGCGAAAGTTCAAGCTCTGCTTGCTGTGACAGCCCGGCTCAAAGCGTAAAGCCCTGCGCTCTGGTGTTTGCAATCCCACGGCCACCTGTGCCACCGTCTCATTACAGTGCAAAATACTTGAGCAAGGCTTTTCCCAGCCAGTCCCACGCCAGTCATTATCTTGCTTCGTTTCACCAGGGCTTAGTCACTCTCTCACTTGGTGCAAGCGATCTTGAACTCCCACGTGAATGGTTCAGCACTGGCTGTACGGGAGCATCGCCTCGACAGACGTCGGGGTAAAACCGAGCCGCTAACAAATACCCACAAATCTGCACCTCTCCAGACTCAGAGACCCCGGCAGCTTTCAAAGCTGTTGCTGCCTTGCTGAGGATCAGCTTGAGACCACTCGAGACCCCCACCTGACAGCGGAAAAAAGCCTCAAAACAGGCGCATGTACAGCCCACAGCTACTTGAAGTCCCCAAAAAGCCAGAGCTGTGAGCGAAAGACTCATTTTCTGAGCCTGATTTCGGAATGAGCTTGGTGCCCACTCCAGCAGGTGGGCAGAGGACCCCATGCATCTCCATACACAAGCAGGCAGAGCTTCAGAGCAGGCATGAGAGGCAGCTTGCTTGAAAGAAAAGAAGTTTGTGGCCATCGTACCAGCTTAGTTTTCCAAGACTGCTACTTTTGGGTGTGTTTTTCCCTGGGTGCCATCCATAGTGTGCTAGAGGCTCCTATGCTCCTGCCTATACAGCACGTGGACGGCTGCAAGGCTCCCAGACAGACGGAAATCTCTGGCTAAGGGGAAAACAATCTATTTCCCAGTAGCGGGGTGCCACAGTAAGCCACAAGGAGGGAAATAGTTTGTGATCTCTCTGTTATCAAGATTTGCAGGCACGTCAGCCGTCTGCAATGCGGCCACAGGTCTGGCAAGGCGATCCCCAGCCCAGTTTTGTAGGGATGCAGGTAACTGGAGCAGCAGCCAGGCAACACCCTGAGGATCGGATGGCCTGCTCCTCGAGGCTCGCTGGTTGTGGAGTAAGATTCCTCCTGCCCGAAGACTCGCACTCACCTGAAGAAGCCCTTACAGCCTTCACAGGTCATGGCGTTGAAGTGAAAGCCCGTGGCTCTGTCCCCACAGACGCCGCAGATACGGGGCACGTTCCTCTCGAACTCACCGGCTGGGTCGGGAAGGGATGTGCTAGCAGCCATGGTCTCCACGTCTGGGAGAGGACAGAAAGCCAGGTGATTTATTTCGTAAAGCTGTCACAGCTATACAAAAAGCAAATTAGATGCAAATAGAGGATTTTTCTTTGGCTTCCACACGATCTGGCAAGAAAAGCTTCTGTGTTCTCTCTGGCTCCACGCACTAACACCACCAAAAGCAGGCTCTAGCTAGTTTTTGGTACGTGTACGCACATTTCCTCATCTACCCAGTAAAACCAGGACTGGTCCCCCCTTCACATAACCCCAGCCTTAAACACGCTGCAGAGCACATTTACGGTAGTTTGCTGGGCATCAGCGAGAGCGCTCCCGTAGCCCACCCCAAACCCAGACTGTTTTTTTTCCCCCCCCCCACTCCTTTGCGTTTGTTTTCTGAAAGCCTTGAAAGGGACCAGAATTCACCCAGATCGATGCTGCAAAACCACAGGGTAAGAGGTCACGCTGCCCGTATGC